CCTCTCAAATATACATCTACTTCCCTTATGAGAGCCACAATTGAATCTCCTCCAGCACATCGTCAAGCAGTACATTTCAAATCGTAATTACTTGCTATGTAAACTGTATCTTCCTCTTGGTAGCTTTGGTTCTTTTGCCAGTCACCTAAAATCTTTGGTCCTTTGGTTCTATCTTCCCCAGGGGAACAGTTTCTCTCTACACTGTCAAGATCTTCATAATTTTGAACAACTCTAATAAAACTCCTTTCAGCCTTACCCTTACCTCAGTCCATAAGAAGGAGCCATTCTTGTAAATATTTCTGGTTTATAAAGGATTATTATAACATCTTTTTTGCCCTGTGTCTCTATTTGTAAAGTCCAGGATCTCATATGCTATTTTGACTTCTTTCTCAACCTTCCCTGCCAAATTCAATGATTTGTACACATATTTCCTGGGTTTCTCTGCTCTTGCACCTTCTTTAGAATTGTACCTTTCTCAATTTTCCTATCAAAATGTATTCACACCATACTTCTCTATGTTTAATTTAATCAGTCACGTGTCTGCTCATTTCACCAGCCTGTTTATGATCTCTTAAAGTCTATCACAATCCTACTACTGTTCACTACATTTCTTAGTTTTGTCATCTTCAAATTTTGAAGTAAATGTCCTGTTCACTCAAGAATGAGTCATTAATGTATATCACAAAAATCAATGGTCCCAGCACAACCCTTGGTGAACTCTGTTGCATCCCTCCTTCCAGTCTACAAGTAACTACTTTCTGTTCCTGTTTTTCAGCTCATCTGAATCCATGCTGCCTCTGCCCCTTTAACTCCATAGCTTCAGCTTTGCTCAGGAATGTATTATGTGGGACTTTATCAAACATCTTTTGGAAGTCTATGTACAGCGCATCAGCACTTTGTTTGTAGGTTTCTGGTTTGCACTCAGTAATTGGCGGATTTTAGGTGGTTCGAAACACCCCCAGATCCCTGGTTCTGACACTAGACTTACTTAGGGAATGTGAAATGAAGAAAGCAGTAGGCAGGTATTTCAGGGCAAAAGAATCTCTGTGTTTATTTAAGAACAAAAGCTAAGTATAATACAAGAAATAAAGGTAAAAGCACTAAACAGTGAAGTGACCACTATCAATTAGAGGACAGTGATTAAATTCACTATTAAATTAAACACAGATTAACTTCTATTAGAACCTAAACAGCAGTTTTAATCACAGAAACTTTAATCAGGCTTCCTACCCTTGGGGTGTCATGCTTGGTTACCATCTGCCTTCCCTTCCCTGCTAGCTAGGTTGGAAACTTTGGGATCTCAGGAATTTAAGTTCACCACTGAGGAAAATGTGATTTTAAAGTGCACCCAGTTGCTGAGTTTCTTGTCGTTGGTTCTCTTGGTTCAGAACAGGCCCACGTCTGGAAGCTGTTGTTCAGATGGCGCTTGGTTGGCTTTCCCCCCCTCGGATGTCCTTTGTTCCGATGGTGCCCTTGGTTTGCTTCCCGATTCAGCTTCTCTGTTCATACTCTGTGGTTCTTGGTTCTGAAGCTGCTTTTTGGGGCTGGAAGCCTGTGGGGAACATGTTTGTGCAGAAGCTTGTTGTTGAAAAGGCTGTCTCTTCAGGTCAGATCAGGACTAGCAGTTATACAGATAATGTGCTCTATTATCTCCTCTCAAATCTGTGTTGCCATTGTATTTCTGGTGTTCCCTTTATGGCCAGTTGGCTTCCTGATAGTTAAGAGTATGTGTGAATGTATTTTGATTGAAGTTGAATATCCGGTATCTCTGCGAATGGATTTTATTTTTCTGAAGAAAGGTCCTGACCCGAAACGTCAACTTTCCTGTTCCTCTGATGCTGCCTGGCCTGCTGTGTTCCTCCAGTTCCACACTGTGTTATCTGTATTTTAGATGATGGAGATTTTCGCTCAATCTAACAATATTTTACAAAACCTTATGCTGTCTTTCCTTAATAATCCAAGTGATTGTTAATTTTATTCAAGATAATTGTTTCTGAGCACTCCCACTGCAGCAAGGTGAAACTGACTGGTGTAGTTGCTAGGTTTATCTTTACACTCTTCTTGACCAAAGGTGTAACATTGGCAATTCTGTCATCCTCTAGTACTATCCCTGTATTTCAGGGTTGTTTGAAGATCATGGTCAATGCCTCTGCTCTTATTTATCATATCATATCACAGAATCCCTATGGTGTGGAAACAGGCCCTTCGGCCCAACATGTCCACACCAACCCTCGGAGCATCCCATCCAGACCCATCCCCCTATAAACCCACCTAATCTACACATCCCTGAACATAATGGGCAATTTAGCATGGCCAATCCACCAAACCTGCACATCTTTGGATTGTGGGAGGAAACAGGAGCACCCGGAGGGAACCCACGCAGACACGGGAAGAATGTGCAAACTCCACACAGACAGTCGCCCGCGGGTGGAATCGAACCAGGTCCTTGGCGCTGTGAGACAGCAGTGCTAACCACTGAGCCACCGTGCCGCCATTTCTGTCTGTGCCCACAGATGCATCCCATAAGTCTGCTGACTTATCCACTTAAATGCAGCCAGTTATTCCTTTACTCCTATTAATCAATTTGTATCACATTCAGTATATGAATGACCTGTTCTTTCACTCGAATTTTGGCAACATCTTCTTCCTTGTAAAGGCAGATGTAATTTAATATTTCAGTCATGCCCTTGACCTCAATGCACTAATCTATTTTTTGTTTCTTAATCAGTCCTACCCTCTTCTTGCTACCTTGTCAGCGTTGATATGTCTGTTCTCATTTTCTTCTTTCCTTTTATTTCCCTTTTTACTTCTCTGTGAACTTTCTAGATTCAGCCCAAGTCTCACTTGTATTATCAACCTGACATTTATGATGCACACCCTTTTTTAATTTGTCTTACTTGCTTTCATCAGTTGGAAAGTTCTGGTTATCTTATCTGTTGCCTTATGGGAAGTACATCGACTGTAGACTGAACTGACACTTCTGTAAATGCAGCCAATTGTTAAATTACAGCTTTGCCAGTCAATCTTTTGACTCCAGTTTACTCAGGCCAGTTTCTTTCTTAACCCATTGATACTGGCCTTTTTCAAATTAGGTATTTTTACTCTGGATTGCTCCTGATCCATTTCGGTCATCAATTAAATCTTCTGATACTTATATCAATGTCCCTTAAATATTTTGTGACTGACACTTGATCCAGTTGTACCAGTTCTGAAGAAGGGTCACCAGACTCGAAACGTTAACTCTGATTTTTTTCTTCACAGATGCTGCCAGACCTGCTGAGCGTTTCTAGCAACTTCGGTTTTTGTATTTGATCCAGTTGACTCACCTCACTCCCCAAAGCCAGATCCAGAATGTTTTCTTCCTCATTTGCCTAGAAATGTCCTGATTAAGAAAATTCTCCTGAACATGCTTCATAACTTCTTCTCCACTTTTGTCCTTTATGCTATTATTATTAGAATAATTAAAGTTCCCATTGCATTGACTCCACAGTTTTCCACCTCTCCGTAATCTCTAGCAAACTTGTTCCTCTGTATCTTTCCCACTAGCTGGTAGCCTATGTGTTATATCTACTTATGCAATGGCACCTCCATTGTCTCTTATCTCCCTAAAGTCAGAATGGGTTACTGGCACTGCTGTGAAGTCAGAAGTGAATTTCAAGAGAAATATTTTCCTCTTTAACAATCCCAGCACTTGCCAGGACCACATATCAAGAGAAAATGAGATCCCCTATGCCTAAGATGTTCCATCATGAGATGAAAATATCAACTTAGTTTGATAATCTTTAGAATTGTTATTCTTCAGTCGACTGAAAGGAATCTTTTAAAACATTGACTGTTGCCTGTTACTTTACCACCAGTTATCATGATATTGGACGTGGTACTTTCTCTTCCACATGCCTCCCCAACCCCAAAACAGCAGCAAATCCAGAAAAGAAATGGCTTCTGATTGGAGGAGCATTCTCTTGCAGATGTTGCATAGGTACGGCACTTGCATATATTTGGAACCCAATTTCTATTCCAAATAGGACCCCTGGAGGTCTATGTTCTGGCCTGTAGGCCATCTATTGGACAAGCCTGTTGTAAACCATCAGCATCATGCAACAGGACTGCTGAGTTAAAGAATAGCAGGATTTGGAATGGTCCAACTGATTGTAAATGATACCCCCATGGCTAATTCTGATTTGGACTTCAGTCAGGACTCATAAGCTGAATATTGTTCAAGGGAAGAAGAAGGGTCTCGACCTGAAACGTCAGCTTTCCTGCTCCTCTGATGCTGCTTTGCCTGCTGTGTTCATCCAGCTCTACACCGTGTTATCTCAGATTCTCCAGCATCGGCAGTTCCTACTATCTCTATTGTTCAAGGGATATTGTTTGGTCAGCAGAACTTCACTATTATTTTAGTATTGCCATCAGGAGAGTTGTTACTTTTGATTTAAAAGTGTGAAAGTTAATATATTTGTAAATTACTGCTTCAGTAGAATTTGAAAGGAAGACTTGTTCCTCAATTATTTTCTGTACCTAAATTGAAATTGCTGACAAAGCAGGTAAATTCAGACATGTAAATAGAAAAGCCTAGGAATTAGGTTGCATCCAAATTGAATGCAAAACCAGCAGAATACACTCACCTAATACAGGCAGTAACAGGATCACACAGAATTGGTCTACCAACCTCACTGGTGAAGGATCATTGGACTCAAAATGTTAACTCTGGTTATCTCTGTACAGATGCTGCCAGACCTGCTCCAACACTGACCATACTTGTTTAGGGCCAATACCAGTCGCAACCCTAGAAGCTAATTGCCAACACTAGGAAGAGCAAAGATTGAATGGCTCAAATTCTGGCCTGATATGTAATAGACTCAGGGAATGGGGGAGTTTAGAAGGGGAGAATGTTTACTCTCTAAATCTGTTGACTGGCCTGGATTATGTTTCTAAGATGTTTTTATTTTAGATAGTCATCATTTCTAATCTTTCCTTAATTTTATTCTTTTTCATTGTAGGACACACTTACACAGATTGGAAAAATACACAGAAGCCTCCCAAAGTACTCCGATGCCACTACTTTGGTGTGGAAGAGATTATTTGATAGAAAAACCCAAACTTAATTTTATAATGTTTGGGCCTTTTACAGCAGATATGGTTTTGGATATTGAGTCATAAGAAAATATAAATGCTCAGTTTGGTAATTATTGTACTTACTGAAATGCTTATTTTCTGTGGCTGAGAACGGCTTTATTATTACCTCCCCAAAGTTATCTTTTTCAAAATATTTAATTAAACAAAAAGCTGTTTGCTATTACTTTACCCAGACACTAACACGGATTCCTTAAAATGTATTCTTTAATGTCAGCCAAGGTATCACAAACTGGAGGCCTTAGTTTCAACTCTCTGTCTATGATGAGTGGTTTAGTTGATCTTAGTTGATACAGCAGTTTTGGTGATATAAGTGTCCTCAATAGTTCTGGCCAGAGAGAGGAAAGGATTAACCAGCATTCTGTGCATGATTGCTACCAATCAGGGGAAAAGTGTTTGTGAATGATATCGAAGGATATGATGTGACATCCTTTTGGTTGTGGATCACTAGAAACAAAAAGAGACACAATAATCTAATTTGTACCCAAGTGCAGGAGTTGAATTTGAGATTCTTCATTGGTTATGATGCTTCAATGAAGGATAATCAGCTGGATGTTTGGTATTTCGTAGGCCGGTAGTTTGTGTGGGGAAATTTCCTGACTCTGCAGATTCATCTCAATATGAAGAGTTGTATTGTACAGAATATTCACTCGAGGCAGATGAGGGTGGGATCAAATCTAGACCCACCAGCCCTGGAAATTGATTGAAGGTGTCCAGAGGAGAGAACAAGTGCAGAGGCAGGCTATTTGGAAAGTCATGGACCCATTTGGAGATACAGAGGCCGGGACAGCTATCTCTGTTAATACGATTTCCAGATGACCGCATTATGAAAGTATGACTGAGCTTCAAGGCTAATAACTGATCACCTCAGTAGACAGATGGAAATCAGGTGTTTCTTTTGATTAATGACATTTTTATCAGGTTATTTTAGTGCTTGTAATGAGGTCAGGCTGGTGGACTTCATAGCATACGAGTTCCCTGATTGAGGCTGTTAATCTGGTCCTATTAGGGAGCCCTGGCTGACAGATAAGGACAGGAGTGTCAGACATCTTCTTCACTGTGAGAGCTGGCTCTGAGGGAGCTTGATCAGTGTCAAGAACTTTCCGTATGTAAACAAAGGGTGACTTAGTGATGGGATACCGGCTACTGTGGGGTTATTTCAGTTATAATTTTTTTTTGTTCTGTTTTATCAGTGTTTGTTTAATTATTTAGGTAGGTTATGCAGTTTGAAGTGAGGGAATGTTTCTGTTATTGATACTATGAATGGCTCTTTCTGATTGAAAATTTAAGGGATAGCAATAACAGTATTTTTTTCAAAGTAGATTTCTGAGTAGGTGCCTTTTTTTCCCTCAGGATTTCAGGTCTTGCAAATGTTATTACATAGTTCATTGGATCTCTACATTATACAAAATGGGTGAGTGAGCACGGAAGGGTCATGAATGGCATGGGGACCATTGGAAGGAACATGGAACTGAAGAGGGGGCCATGGGGTGCATGATTAAGACCTTTTAAAGGTTCCCAAATCCAGACTATGGTTCATAGGGACCGTGAGCCATGATTCATCCCGAAGCTTGGCCAGTGTCTCTAGTTCACGCTATTTATACTGAAGAGCAGCTCACGACATGGAAGACAAGAGGACTAATTATTGCATATGCTGTCAATGTTTTAGATTCCTGTTGCCAATTTTTACTCCCACCTAGTTATTTTCCTCCATCTGTCCTTTCAGGTACTAATGTTTTACAATGTACAAGGGAACAAAGAGGTTGTAGAAAGGCATAGACAGGTGAGTGGGCAACAAGGTGGCAGATGGAATATAATGTGCAGAAGTGTGAGTTTTTTCATTTTTCTAGTAAGATTAGAAAAGCAGAATATTTTTAAAAGGTGTGAAACTTGTAACATTGTTCAGAGACACTTGGGTATACTTGTACAAGGAAGATGGAAATTTAGCATTCAGTTAAGAAGGCAAAAGGCAAGTTGGCCTCTATTGCAAGGGGATTGGAGTACGAAGATTGGAAAGCTTTTCAATGATTTGGAATACATTTGGTGTGCAATTTTGGTGTCCATATTTAAGGAGGGATATATGTGTATTGGAGATAGAACATAAAAATTTACCAAATTGGTCCTTGGATTGAGTGTGTTGTCCAGTGATGTGAGGCTGTGGCCTATGTTCTCTAGAATTTAGAAGAAGTAGAGGTGATTGCATTAAATCGTACAAGACACCAAAAGGCCTAGACAGAGAAGATGCTGAGAGGTTGTTCCTAGAACGAAAAGGACACAGTCTCAGGATAAAGGGACAAGTTAATTATTTAGGACTGAAATAAAGAGAAATTCCTATAAGTGAAAGATTGTGACTGTTTGGAATTCTTTCTTGAAGAGAGTTGTGGACACTCTAATGTACAATATGCTAAAGGCGGAGATAGACTTTTGACCTTTCAGGGTAAAGGAATATTGCCTTTGCTCAAGAGGTTTTGGCATGAGGAGGCTGAGCAGGGGTACAGGTAAGAGCAGGTAAGGGCTCTTTAACTCTACTTTCTTTCTGTCTGGACTGAAGGTAGTAGGGACGGCAGTTAGGGCAGTGGCATGCTCCCCTACAGGATGTGGGAGATCAAGGAGACTTCCAGTGTCCCTGGTGGCTACACCTGTGAGAAGTGCACCCAGTTGCAGCTCCTGACAGACCACGTTAGGGAACTGGAGCTGGAGCTGGATGCACTCAGGAACATCCGGGGTGCAGAGAATATCATTGTTAAGAGCTATAGTTAAGTGGTTGCTCCTAAGGTGCAGGCTGCAGGTAGCTGGGTGACCACCAAAAGAGGTAAAGGGGGAAGGCAGATAGTGCAGTGTTCCTCTGTGGCCATTCCCCTCAATATGATGCTTTGGACACTGTTGGGTAGATGACCTATCAGGGAAGTGCAGCAACGGTCAGGTCAGTGGCACTGTGACCAGTTCTGAGAGAAAGAGTGCAGTCAGACAGAGCGATACCGTGAGGGGGAATAGACAGTAGATTCTGTGGTCACAGAAGAGACACCAAGATGGCATGTTGCCTCCACATGCAAGGTCAAGGATGTCTCTGAGCGGTTGCAGAACATTCTGAAGGGGGAGGGTGAACAGCCAGAAGTTAAAAAGCAGGCCTCAAGGGTAGTGATCTCCGGATTACTCCCAGTGCCTTGTGCCATTGAGGATGGAAATAGAAAAATCGGCCAGATTAATGTGTGGCTGAGGTGCTGGTGTAGACGGCAGGGTTTTGAGTTCTTGGATCATTGGGATCTTTTCTGGGGTAGAGGTGACCTGTATAAGGGGGATGAGATGCACTTGAACCGGAGGGGTCCAATATCCTTGCGGGGAGATTTGCTAGTGTTACCTGGGACGGTTTAAACGAGTTTGGCGGTGGGGCTCTGAATAAGCGAGGTGCCATCGAGAAGTCAGGGTAAAATCATTAGCCATCGAGAGCGGGTTTACTATTCAGGATAGCCAGGGGTACAGTAAAAGAAGGGAAAAGACTTCTGCTTTAAAGTGGATTTATCTTAATGCATGAGGCCTGACTGGTAAGGCAGATGAGCTCAGAGCATGGACTGACTCTGGGGACTGGGATATTACAGCCATAACAGAAACTTGGCTGAGAGAAGGCCAGGACTGGCAGATCAATGTTCCAGGATACAGAAACTACAGACGTGACAGAAGTACACGTAAGCGATGAAGGGGAGTTGCCCTTTTGATAAGGGAGGGCATAGTAACACTGCTTAGAGAGGATATTCTTCGGGGGTCATCAAATGAGGCCATATGGTTAGAACTCAGAAACAAGAAGGGGATAGTAACTCTATTGGGATTATATTATAGACACCCAAATAGCCAGCAAGTGCTAGAGAAGCAGATGTGTAGAGAGATTGCAGATACCTTAGGAATATTCTGAAGAAATATACTTTAGGCTTCATTGTTCAGTGGCGGGAATTGGGAGAGAGCACGAGGGCAGCCGGGAAGGTAAGGCTTCAGTATAAAAGACTTACCTCGTGAGACTGTGGCCTTCCTTGTTGAGCGGCGGGAGTCGGGAGAGCACGAGGGGACTGCTGGGTAAGTAAAACCATATATTCTGGCAGTGGCTAAACCTGAAACACTACACGTGTAGTGTCCCCCACCCATCCTTCTCCTCTAACCAAAAAAAAACTCTATGTGGAGGATCAATAAGGCGAGTTGTTTTTTTTTCCTTTCTTTTATTTTGCTTTTGTTTGGCGGGAAGCTGTCGGAGGGAGGAGCAGTAGAGCAGAGGTGAATATAAGACGGCCAGAGCTCGGGGCACTAGCCGCAAAAAAAACTGGGGTGATGTCACAGGGAGGCTGTGACCTGATTGGCTGGTAGGAAATCTGCACTAAATTTGAAAAATACCAAGAAGTATCAGCAAATTTAATTAACTCATTGTAATAAATTATATAAATCAATGAAGTAATTAACTAAGTAGAAATGGCTGGCCAGGTGATGTGTTGTAGCTGTTTGATGTGGGAGTTAGCTGATCCCATTGCGAACTGCAGTGACCACATCTGCAGCAAGTGTTGGTTGTTCGAGGAACTTCGGCTCAGAGTTGATGAGCTGGACTCGGAGCTTCAAACACTGCGGCTCATCCGGGAGGGGCAGAAGTACCTGGACGCTGTGTTTCAGGAGGCAGTCACATCTGGTAGATTAAGTACTTCAAATTTGGTCAGTGGCCAGGGACAGCAGGGGGTGACTGCAAGTGAGGCAGGTAGAGGGATCCTGCAGTCAGGAGCAGAGGAGCCTCAGCTCTTGACCTTGTCCAACAGGTACGAGGTACTTGCTCCCTGTGTGAATGAGGAAAAGGGCTGGAGGGATGATGAGCCAACTGACCACTGCACCGTGGTACGGGAGGCCATTCAAGAGGGGTAGCAAAAAGACAGGTGGTAGTTGTAGGGGATTCTATAATTCGGGGGATAGTTAGTATCCTTTGTAAGCAGGATTGAGAGTCGCACACGGTGTGTTGCCTGCCCAGTGCCGGGGTAAGGGATATCACTGACCGGCTTGAAAGGATATTGGAGCGGGAGGGGGAGGATCCAGTAGTTGTGGTCCATGCTGGAACAAAAAACATAGGCAAGACTAGAAAAGAGG